ATGTCTTGAAAGAGAATCCAAATTTCCTTATTATTTGTAGTTGTGTCTTTAAGAATTTAAGTAAGTTGTAAGATTGGTTGTAATGTGAATTGATGTAAAAAGACTACAAAATTGTAAAGTGATAGCACTTGATTATGAGTTAGAATATTTTTAAGTCGAGTTGTTATAATTTTTGTAAAGATTTTTCTGATGTAATTAATTAGTATAATAGGACAAGTAGAATTAAGTTCATAGTTGTAATGTTGTTTTTTTGGAATTGGCCAGATATTGGTTTATAACTACTAATCAGAAATAATTTTTTGTATTATACAACTGTTGAATATATTTAAAAAAAAAAAAGAGTGCTGATAAAGGTAGATGTTGAAGAACTTTATTTGTAATTTCTAAAGGTCCAGTTGCTTTTCTTTTAGATACTGCTTTTATCATTTGTTTTAATTCTGTTATTGTAATAGAAGATAGAAGATTATTGTATATACTGTTTTGAATATTGTTAAGTGAAAAGTAAGTTGTTTTCTATTTTTTCAATTGTTTTCATTAGAGAGGTTACTCATATCCATTCCTTGAAATGTTGATGTGTTGCTTCTTTAATTTTATTTTTCTTTGTAATTATTTTATTTAATAGAATAATTTTTTCAAAACTAATTGATTCTGCTTTTTTTTTTAGTATGCTGTCTAATATATAACTAGTATTATCTTTAAAATCTGAATATCTACGATTTGTAAAAAATTTAATTTGTTCACTTTGTTCTTATTTTTTTCAAAGTTGTGTACCTGCCAGATTATATGTTTGTGATGTTTAATTTATGCTGTTATCTCAAAAAGTGAGAAGCTTAATTGTGTTTGTGTTATTTGAGAGATATTAATTTTTGCTAATTTAGCTGCTTTTGACAAGTGATAGTTAGCTTCTGTTAGATTATTTAATAGGTTATTACCAAAGTATTATAAATATTTGTTAATATGTTTTAAAGCAGAATGCAGTTTAGTAGCTTTTAGTAAAAGTATGAAGAAAAGCTTTGATGTTGTGAAGGTATATAGAAAATATTTGTTTATTGTTTCTTTAGTTTTTGCTGACTAAAAATTCCAGATCTTATTTATCTTATCTTTGTTCATATTAAGTAAAGGAGTAGCTTGCATATTGAATGTTATTTATTGCATTTTCAAAATTGCTTCAGTCTTCTGATGTCATTTTGTTGAATAAATAAATTTTTTTTTTTTGTTTTTGTGATTTTTTTGTGATGAGAAGTTAGTGTGCCAAGTTGTATGCAAAATACAGTGATCAGTGTCAGAAATATATAAGGCATTTGCTAGTAGTAGAGGTTTAAATGCTAGTAGTATATCTAAAGAAATCCAAAAGTCATCAATTTGGTTAGCATTGTTAGAGTCTTGACAGATAGATGCTTGAATATTATGAAAAGTTAGAAGGCTAGTTAAATTAGCAGCATTAAGTTTAGTAAATAGTGAAAGATGTTTGTCTTTATGTTGTTAACATTAAAGTCTTTAAGTATGATTAAGTGCCAGTTTCTAGCTTTAGCTAATGTAGTTCAGATAAGCAGTTAAAATTGAGTATGTTTTAAGAGAAAGGCATAGTTTAAGAGAAGATAAGTTGAAATAATGTAGGATTTGTTGTTATTAGAAAAAAAAAAGTCTATGCAAATTGTAGTGCCTAGTAAGGTATTAATTTTATGAATATATAGTTGTAGTTGGTTGCAGATTATTAAAGCTGTTTCTAGACTGGTTTCATATTGATTTGATTTGTAGAATATAAAATTTGAAGTATATATTTTGTATAGTAGATTGGTTAGTAATCTTGTTGTTAATTTTTTTAGTTTGATTTCTGTAAGAAAGACTATATGCAAGTTTGATATTGCACAGTATTCGATCTATGTTTACATTTTTAAAATAACATTGACACCTCTAATATTATAAGTAGCTATATTAATTTTTTTGTTTAGATTTAGTTCAGATAAAGTTTAATTCTTTTTTAACTAATTGTAGATTAATTGTTATATTGTTGTTATTAGTATTTGGTATGTCTGGATGATTAGTTGATGTTATTATTGTTGGTATTTAGGTGAGAATATCTTCCAGTTTGGTTCTAGAAGAGGTGGTAGTGCTAATATGTTATCAGAAATGTTGTTGATTGTAAAATGTTAACATAGCAGATCAAGTATGTCTTTGGCTTTGGTCTGCTGTGTAATAGGAATAGGTATTGTTGTGATATTAATATTCTTTGTATTTAGGTATTTTTTGATTTCAGTTAATGAGTTTGGAACCACTAGTTTAGATAGAGACTTAGCTTTGTCTAAGTTTGTGTTATGCATATTGATATCTTTGATATTTGTAGATATTTCAATTCAAAAATCTGAAATGTAATAGAAATGATATTTTTGTCTAAGTTGTCAAACTAAATCTACTAATATTTTAGTTAAAGTTATTGATATTATAATGCTGAAATCTTTAATAAGTTCTGGATTTTTTGGTAAATCTGGCTTGTTCATAGAATTTGCTATCATTATATTAGATAGTAGTAAGAGTAAAAATTTGTAAATAGGTATAATTTGATCAATAAAGCATTTTGTTATTTAGTTATCTGTAATGGGATAAGTAAAGATGTCAGGTATTTTAATTTTCTTTAGGTTTTTGGATAATGATGATTTGACTTTGAACTAGTTATTTGAAAGACTTCTAAAGAAGAATTCTTTTCTAAGTTGTTTTATAATTTGTATAAAATTAGTATCTGGATCTTGTAGATCAATTAGAAAATAAAGCCTATATTTGTTGCTTAGCTTTTAATATGCTAATGATAATAGTTTTTTTGGTAGTAGTAGTTAAAGAAACTGAAAGATATACTATCATATGTATAGTAGTTTTGCAGTTTTTTTTTAAAGTATGCCAAGGTATTTAATTGGCTACATTCTGTAATAAGAAAGAGGTTTCTTATTTCTAGATGTAATTCATGTATGCTTTTTGGAATTGGATCTAAAGTTGCAAACTATTTTTCTGGCAGTTGGTCAAAGTTATAAATTCTATGTAATCCAGTTACAATGGCTTTTGTTTATGATTTTTGTTTTATAAGAAGTTTAAAAGAAACTATTTTTAAGTTCTCTTATAGTATTTCACTTAAATCTGCTAGAAAGGATCCTAATTGTAAGGAAAAGATATTCTGTACTGCTTCTTGTATTTCTTTAAATTCAATTAGAGTTTCATATTTAGTAAAACTTTTATAATATTTAATTAAGTAACATATAGTTTTGGCTGTGTTTGTTGTAAAATTTATATTAGTAAGATAGTCAATTATAATTTTTTATCTAAGCTTGGTATGTATAGTATCTCTAATTGTTCTTATTGTAATTATAATTTTATGCTAATTTTTATAATTTTTGATTGCTTCTCTAAACAGATCTTTATATATAATTTAGTGAAGAAGTATAGATCATTTATCTCTTGTAAATGTAAGAAAGAAGGCACAGTTCTGGTATTTGAATTTTATCTCGATTACAGAATAAAGAGAAAAGTTAGTTAGTTTGTTTTGCAACTTGTATACTATGAAGTTGAAAATTCCTTTTTTTGTTTTAAATATAATAATAATTTCATTATATCTCCAAACATCTTTATCAAAAGGTTGGATGATTCTATTTTATAATCTGTCATATATACTGTCTATTCATTTTTAAATGTAGTCTATTTTCATCTTGGTTTGCATTTTATTAGATATAAAAATATTTTTTTTGATTATTTGGCTATAACTAAGTGATTTGTGTTCTTCCAAATTGTTGTCTATAATTGCAACAGATTCTATATTCATGTGGTTATTATCTATATTTGTATATTCTTTGTTATCTAGAATATTGTATTGGTTGTCTATCTGGTCTAGACTATTATTAATACTGAGGTTTTTAAATTAGATTCTATTGGAGATGTAAAATTGATTAATTTTATTAGTATATTATCAAAACCAATTTATACAGATTTGTTATTATTGTTTGCATATGATGATGTCATAATTGAATTTGACAAGGATGAACTGGATTGCCTATTTTTTATATTGGTTTGAGGTCTTAGAAGGAAAGTTCATTGTTTTTTTTATTAATGCATTAGAGTAAGTGAAATCTTTTTTGATACTAGTTTTGTCTTTTAAAGAACTGTTGTTGCATGAACTTGTAATTTGTTTTCCTATCTATAATTTTAATATAGTCTCAAAGGAGAATATGAATGAAAGACTTATAAGCCTATGTTGATTTTTTTTATTTGTCAAAATGTTGTTGGTTTCACTTTATTTTCTTTTAAGTTTTCTGATTTATCTAGTCTGTTAACTGTAAGCCCAAAACCAGAAACAACTGTTAGTCACTAAAAATTTAATTACTTCATAAATTTCTATGTAAATGTTTTGCCAATTATTTGTTTACTTAGTATTTTGTGATCTCTGATTTTTAAGTTTTTAGTTGAAGTAATTTTTATAAAACTAATTTTTTTTAAGTTTTAATTTCAAATACAAAATTATACTTAATACCTTTAAGACTTATTTTTAGAATAGAATATATATATAGAGGTGATTCTTTTCGTTAAAGATTTAGAGCAGTTTTTTGTCGTACTAAAAAGTGAAGATAAAAAAGCTTCGCTTCATCTAATCTATGATATCATCCAATCAGTCATTGTATTAGAACTGCGGCAGTGATGTGATGTGATGTCGATCATCCACCCGAACTTTGGGGGTCCGCCCTGGGGTAATCTACGAAAAATGCAAGATGAAAATCATAAAATTTTTAATGTGACAAATCGCGTGACTGTTAAGATAATTTGATCGTGGGAGTTTTAATGTGTCAAAACTTTTTAATTGTGCACCATTCCCTTATATGGATGGTCTCACTTGATTGTCAACGGTGAATTTATTGAAAACTCTTAAAGACGAATATATTTGCACCAATAAAAAAACTCTGTAACAGTAGCAATAATAGATCATCATAAATCTAGTAATTAACTTCTCTAAACTGTTCTTAATTATGCCACAATCTGTATTTTGGTTGATTGGAATGTGGGACTTGATCGGTCTCTTAACATTAATACTAATTTTATATGTGACCGAATTTTATTTTCGATATTTTACTCGATCGAATCCGTTACCTGGGTATAGGCATGATGAAATTAGGTTAAATATTATACAGTGCCGAAAAATATTCATTCCAAGCCTTTCTGATTTATAGGCCTCTTCCCCTTCCAATTTTTGGAAACAGACTTCAATATCGTGGGCATCCGGCAACATGGGCACAAAAGCTTCGGGAAAGATATGGAGACATGTGTGAGATTTATATGGGCTCAGAAAGACACGTTTGGCTATCGAGAAGCGATTTAGTATCTAAAATTTTTAGTCCTTCAACCAATAACAATTTCTTGGTGCGCATCACAGCCCGTGAAGGTCTTGATGAGATTGGTGTTACAGCTAGGGGCCTTACGTTTAATCGTAATGTAGATTCTTGGATGTATAATCGAAAATTGTTTAATCAAGCCATCAGCGCACCAAAGTTTTTAAAGCAATCTGCAGAAAAAACTCGAGAATTATTTGCTGAAATGGAAGGCTACTGGCTCGATCTTGGACATGATATGACTCTGAATTTTTCTGAATGGATGAACCAGTTTATAATGGATATTTCTTTTGTTATGATTACGAATAAGCGAGCATATTCTTTTGCTAATTATTATAATAGAATGTCCAAAGGAAATAGTGTTAAATATCCTGATAGTGTTTTGATTGAATCAGAAAATTTCATTAAAAATATCCATTCATGGCTATCAGCCTTGCAATTCTTTATGGATACCCCAAAGTTTTTGCGAAATAATATAACAGGCGTGATAAAACGAGCCAACTGGCTAAAGACTGAAGTTAATAGGCTAAATCAAAGTTTTCTTGATATTATCAGGGATCGTAGAGAGGAAATAAGCAGAACTCCAATGGATGTGCCATTAAAACCAGATTTTTTGACAATGTTATTAACTCTAAACACTCCTCGAGATATTACTACAAATATTACAGATGATCGCCATAAAAGTCCCATGACCGACGAAGATGTTTGTGGAAATTTAATAGAAGCAATCGTGGCTGGTGTTGACACGGTAGATATCTATTAATAAATGATGATATGTTTATTTAAGTAGATGAACTAAGATATTGAAATAGAGTAGACCGCAAATACATTTTGTTTTATTGTATATCATTTAGCTCATTATCCTGAAGTTAAAGAACGTGTGTTTAGAGAGATAAATTCAGTCTTTGATACGGACCTTAATCGACCTATTAGTTATGAAGATTTAAGTAAATTAAATTACTGTGAAGCCGTCATAAAAGAAGGTAACCTCAATTAATTGATTGTATAGTTTCAATAAGTACATATATAGTACTTAAATATTATTGCTTTTGAAATTTTTTACTAGTATCTCGTTTAATGTCGATCGTGCCAGTAATTTGGAGAATGGCACTTCGAGATGATGAAATATCACACCATCAGTTCAAAGGCTCGACACAATTCATGGTCAATACCCAAGCAATTCATATGCATGAAGCAGATTGGAAAGATCCGGGGTTATTTAATCCCTTGAGGTTCATGAATGATACTAACAATTCCGCTACGCGGGTCCATAAAAATTCGTTATTAATATTTGGAAATGGGTTGCGCATGTGTAATTATCATTAAAATTTCCATAATTGGTTTATTCACAAAGACAATCCATAATGTATAATAATCTATTTTCATAGGTCCGGGTAAACAATTTGCGATGACAGAGCTTAAAACTTTGATGGCTTTATTATACAGAAAGTACGATATTGAACTCGCTGACATGAATGCACCAATCAAATATCATTACTCTACAGTTAAACACTGTGACGACCTTTACGTCAGAATCAAGCCAAGGATTTAAAAAGGACATTTTTATTCAACGCATTTATTTAGAAATATTTTTGTAGTTTAATGTAAAAATTTGGATTTTTTTGCATTATATGACTCCGCTTCATAACCAATTTGGTTAATAATGCATTTTTATTAAAAGGCCATCTATACTGAAAAGATTCAAATTTTAAATCAATAGGTTTCCGAATAATTAGATCTGATTAAAAACATGTTAAAGTTGAGGATTTACTTATTTGCGCAAGTAATACAAACCTGAAAAAAGAAAAAGTCAATATAAATTAAATGCGAAACTTGTAGCTTAGCAATAAACTATATGCAAAATTTTATTTCTATAATTAGTGTGCCAAAGGTCAGTTAAATATTAATTTGCGTTTTTTTTTTCGCATGTACTTTGATTTTTAGAGATAATCCAAATTTGAATTCACTGATTTGCTGTTCCCTTTTTAAGTGTATTATTCAAGAAATAAGTTACTACAATACTAGAGCCTGCCGTTAAACGACAGGCTACATGATAAGGAATAAACCTCATACAAAATATGTTACCTGTTACATAAATATGCAAGGGCCGTTATAATTTTACCATTTATCTTTTGTCGGATTCAGCCTTTTAAAAATCTGATGGTGACATATATCTGATATTATATATATTAAATCTGGGCTGGATCCGGTAACATAGAGACCAGAGTCAGTGAATTTTAGTAGTAACAATCACATATCCAAATCTGACTGTAATTGTTTTATTTTAGTTATGTGGTAGTCGCGATATCTCTAGTACTATTTTTGCTACTACTAAAATCTACTGGTTCTATAGAGACCCATCGGGCCACATATAAAAATATATTATGCAAGGTGATAAGAGAGTATTGTTTAAGTATACTTGTAGCTTATCCTTATTTAAAAATTTTTGATATAGGAGAATCAGAAATATAAATAGTAGAGGCAGAGGGTAAGAATAAGGAATGTTTAATTTCAGTTGAATGAATCAGATTGATATAGTTTGCATTAAAATTAAGTGTATTAGAAGAAACTCTTCTAAGAAATTGAAAAAAAATTATTAATGTTACATTAATTGTGCAGAAGTTTGCAATTTTATGAGAGTTAAGATAGCAACCTGTACAAAATGAGTATTGAATTGGTGGAAGAGGATAGTGAGTAGAGAGTTCTGCATTAATATTTATTTTCCAATGTGTAATAGATATTTGATTGTCATTTTTAGAATATCTGTGAATTTTGTTAATAATAATATCATTATTATTGTATGTAAGTAATTAGGGTTTAAGTTTTTTAAAGATGTGTTGAGAATTGTAGACAAAAGAATTATGTCCAGTCTGTTGATATTGTGAAAAGAGTATTCTGAAACTGTTGTTAGTGATCACATTATTTTCTAGATATGTAAACCAAAATGGTTTATATTCTTTAGGTAAATGTACTAAGTGAGATGATTTTACTAAAGTAAAGTAATATTAGTTACAATACAGAGTTGTTCAAGATATAGAACATTAAGTTTTTTAAATTGTTTTTTGAAAGTAGTATATTGAAGAATAATTAAAGATTGTATTGTATAGTATTAGACCAAAATATACTATTATTAGTTGTTATAAACATATTAATATATATAATAAGTTAAATAATTTTAAAGTTTAAAATATATCTATTAGGTTCATCAAATGTTAAGTTGGTAATGAAGTATATTTGTAGTAAACCAAAGATTATTTTGTAACTGTTGTAATTGAATACATATAGAAGTTTCTAGTAAATAAGAGTTATTAATTCATAAAATAAAGTTAGATATATAATGTTGAAGTTGAATACTTCAAATATTATATACATTATATAGAAATAGATTAAGCATAATGTTATTTGAAATAGAATAAACTAGATGAGATTTATGCTTAACTACAGTTAGGTATTCAGTTAAAATCTTGTTGTATATAGAATAAAAAAGAATTATATTGTATATTCAGTATTCTAGTATAGAAATAATAACTGTATTAATAATATAAATTATTTGAAGATAAATAAATTTGTTATTTTTATTTTTTTTTTTTTTTGGTATTAAGGTGAGGCCTTGCTTATATCTTTATTAATAATTTAAAATAGTTACATGTA